CTCCCTGACTTAAGCTACATCGAGAATTTATCGGTCAGCCTGGTGGTGAAATTTAAATGAGATTAACTTAACTCAATCTGTCCCTATATATATAACCCAGGTAATAGAAAAATTAAATAGGCTCACCTAGAATATATCACGTGCTATTTGACATCTAGTTCTGCCCACGAGAAGTACCATAGGATCAATGACTATCACTCATCCAGAATAGCGACGAAATTTCACTGAAACTATCGTAACTATAGAATATAAAAAAAAAAACCAAGGAAACATCAATGCACTAATCACGACCATCTGCTTCAGCTCTCATAACAAGGTACTGTACTATAGCCATGCAGCCACAGGTGTCGCGTGGAAAAATACAATCGTACTCACTCCTCCTCTTGCTCCTCTTCCTTGCTTATCGACGATGGTTCACATTATCGAGCCTCACGTGAACTGCTGCACCTGTCGTCACCATAAACACACACACACACACACACACACACACACACACACACACACACACACACACACACACACACTCTACCTCCAGGGACATTTTAAACTCCACAAGTGTTTGGAATTCCCGTATTGACTCAAAACTCACCTGCTCCATTATGTCCTCAGTCATATAGTCAAGTGTGTCTCTAGCTTATCACACCTGGTACTAAAGATTAATATAGGGAATATAACAAAACATAGGTTAAAATATTCTTCACATAAAGACCATAATTTTGTCATTGTACACACAAATGCTGCGTAAGTGAGTCAGAGGGTTAACAACGCCATGTATAGAGCTGCTGATGCAAGTCTTGGGTGTTTTATTTTAGACAGGTTTAATGGTATACGGTGATAGGGTGTTAATAGACATTTAAACCAATTAAATTAACAACACACACACACACACACACACACACACACACACACACACACACACACACACACGTCACGCTACCACAGACTTACACAATAAGGCTGTTGTACAATATAATCGATCTGTCTTGATGACCGTAAACGCGTGGTAGGGAATGTCTACCACAGGTCCTGCACACACACACACACACACACACACACACACACACACACACACACACAACACACACACACACACTACAGTATTATATTTTTGCGTGTCTGTGTGTGTGATACTAACTCAATTTAGGACATGTAGTAGTAATTTAAGATATGTAGTAATTTAGGACATTTAGTAGTAATTTAAGACATGTAGCAGTTTAGGACAAGTAGGGGACATTGACAAGGCTGCTGCGGTCATTTTCAGCTGTTACAACACTAAATTGTTGACACGGGCGAGGAAGGGAGGGAAGGGGAAGAGGGAGGGAAGAGGAGTAGAGAATGAGGGGGAGAGAGAGGAAGGGAGGAGAGACGTAGAGAAGCATGAAGAAGGATAGAGAGAGGATGAAAGGATAGAGGAGGAGAAAGAGAGAGTTGGCAGGATACAAAAAGTTAAATAATAATAATAATAAAACAAACAAATAAATAAATGGGAATGTAAATAATAAATGATAAATAGTCGATAATGATAATGTTGATACTACTACTACTACTACTACTACACTACTACTACTGTCATATGATCAATTCGCTCTAATAAATGGTTGATCGGATGGAAGGGAAGGAAGGGTATATTTAGAGTGTTGGAGGGTCGGTGGAGTGTTGGAGGGTCGGTGGAGGGTATAGGAGAGCTGTGCCCGCCCTACCACAAACACTTTGAGTACCCTTGACCGCTCTTCTCTGTTCGCTCGTCCAGGAAATGACCATCTAAAACCAATGAAGCGTTTACCTGTTTAACTACCCTAACTACCCTATATTAAAACTAGCTATATTACCTCATTCTCTTCAAAATATAAATGATAAAAATAAAGATAACAAGATAAAATAGTTAGTAATTAGCGATAAGCGTAATAGAAAATAGTATAGATTCGATCGTTTACTGACCCACCAAGTGTTAAACATCTGCCTAACAGCGGGCGCGTGGCGGGTGAGTTGGAGCCGCGCCCTGATTGGCTATTAACCACCCCGAAGGACCTTATTGGCGGGTTTTAAAGACCACTTACGATCCCATATGGCTCCAGGCTCCTTCATTAACAGTAAATTCCGACGACAAGCGGCAGTGGTGTTGGTGAGACTTGATAATTACAGAGGAACAGCTTAACTACCCCCGGACACGTGTCGGCTGTCATAACGAGTGAGACGATGGATGCCCTACTGAAGCTGTAGAGAGGAAACTAACACACAGACATCCCTGGTTCTATCCCTTGTACTCTGGTTCTATCCCTTGTACTCTGGTTCCATCCCTTGTACTCTGGTTCCATCCCTTGTACTCTGGTTCTATCCCTTGTACTCTAGTTCTATCCCTTGTACTCTGGTTCTATCCCTTGTACTCTGGTTCCATCCCTTGTACTCTGTGGTCCCATTCCTTGTACTCTGGTTCCAAGACTTGTACTCTGGTTCTATCCCTTGTACTCTAGTTCCAAGCCTTGTACTCCGGTTCTATCCCTGTACTCTGGTTCTATCCCGTACTCTGGTTCCATCACTCTGGTCCCATCCCTTGTACTCTGGTTCTATCCCTTGCTCTGGTTCCATCCCTTGTACTCTGGTTCCATCCCTTGTACTCTGGTTCCATCCTTGTACTCTGGTTCCATCCTTTTACTCTGGTCCCATCCTTGTACTCTGGTTCCATCCCTTGTACTCTGGTTCTATCCCTTTTACTCTGGTTCCATCCCTTGTACTCTGGTTCCATCCTTGTACTCTGGTTCCATCCTTGTACTCTGGTCCCATCCCTTGTACTCTGGTCCCATCCTGCTCTGGTCCCATCCCTGGTACTCTGGTCCCATCCCTGGTACTCTGGTCCCACCCTTGTACTCGGTCCCATCCCTTCATCTCTGGTTCCATCCTTGTACTCTGGTCCCATCCTTGTACTCTGGTCCCATCCTTGTACTCTGGTCCCATCCTTGTACTCTGGTCCCATCCTGGTACTCTGGTCCCATCCCTTGCTCTGGTCCCATCCCTTTCCTGGTCCCATCCTTGTACTCTGGTTCCATCCCTTGTACTCTGGTTCTTTGAGGTGAATGAAAATTTGCAAGGTTAGGTTAGGTTTAAGTACAATTTTAAAAAGTATTTTAGGTAAGGTGTGTGTGTGTGTGTGTGTGTGTGTGTGTGTGTGTGTGTGTGTGTGTGTGTGTGTGTGTGCTTTTTGTAGTAACATTCATTCATCATCTATTTATTTTATTAATGTTTTTATATTTATTTCTAATTTTTATATCATTATTACTGAATTTTAAACTTTCCTTTTATTGTCTTTTATATATTTATCTTTTTCTTTTGTTAATTCCTCTTTTGTTAATTATTTTTTCTTTCGTTTATTCAGTTTATTGTCAATATATTTTGTTTATAAGATTTAACATAACGTCGACTTTTAACATTCTTATTATTTTTTCTATAATATAACATTTTTAACTTTAACTTGATTCCTGGATGGTTAACACATTGTCTTCAAAGGGTTAAAACATCGTCCTCAAAGGGTTAAAACATCGCCCTCAGAGGGTTAAATCATCGTCTTCAAAGGGTTAAAACATCGTCCTCAAAGGTTAAAACATCGTCCTCAAAGGTTTAAATCATCGTCCTCAAAGGTTTAAAACATCGTCCTCAAAAGGTTAACAAATTTCTATATATCATTTCTAATAATAAATAAATTCCCTTCAACAATGTCTAAATAAAAACATAAATCAACTTAATTATTTATTTGTTGTATATATACATAATTTACATAGCGTACAGATACGGTTTATATACATTACACATATGCATTAAGCAGGGGGAGGTAAAGGTGAATACATGAGATGGTGGTGGTGGTGTAAATGTTAAATTCACGGTCTGCTTAATTTAACACAAGTCGACACATTCTAAGATGGGTCGTACTTTAAACCTTGATGACTTAGTTAAACGTTGATGAGTACATGTTAAACCTTGATGACTTAGTTAAACGTTGATGAGTACTTGTTAAACGTTGATGAGTACCTGTTAAACGTTGATGAGTACATGTTAAACGTTGATGAGTACATGTTAAACGTTGATGAGTACATGTTAAACGTTGATGAGTACCTGTTAAACGTTGATGAGTACATGTTAAACGTTGATGAGTACATGTTAAACGTTGATGAGTACATGTTAAACCTTGATGACTTAGTTAAACGTTGATGAGTACATGTTAAACCTTGATGACTTAATGTTAAACGTTGATGAGTACCTGTTAAACGTTGATGACTAGTAGTTAAACGTTGATCAATCGTTAGCTTAAGGTTAATGACCCACACAGCATCACCAATACAGACGAACTACAGAAATACAGAGAAATATTTACACCCAATTGTGTCATTAAGAATCTGTGGTCCAAAAAAGTTAACCTTCTGATAATTAAGTGTCCTATTAACTAGCGTAATTATCAAAGCTTCATAATCTAGGGTACTATTAGGAGAATTAATTACCACTAATTATGTCGACCACAGATACATAACATCACTACTAAGTATACATAGGGATACATATTTGTGTTTAGTATGTATAGTTTATTCTATAGGTGAGGTATACATATGAAAGTACACACACACACACACACATACATACATACATAAGGGTACACACACATACACAAGAGTACACACATATATACATAATGGTACACACACACACATAAGGGTATACACACATACACAAGAGTACACACATATATACATAATGGTACACACACACACACATAAGGGTACACACACATACACAAGAGTACACACATATATACATACTGGTACACACACACACACAAGTTAGGCATGACATAATAATGATGATGATGATGATAATAATAGACTTAACAGATGGAATGTAATAATACAACAGTCTGTGCATTTACAATATTGAACAACATATCTGAGGACTGAACAAGTGAACATTGAACAGCCACTAAATATATACATATATGAGGTGTTCATTATTATTATTATTATTTCATTAACTCTATTCTATCACACCATTGACTAGGGTGCAATTTTAATTATTATTTTTAATATTTTTTTTTAATTCTCACTAGTTTTTGATACTTTGTAGATGAATGAGATCATTATATGGGCTAAATGACGTCGCTTAATGTTCCTCCAATAGTGGTTTATAGTGTTAGTGACATCATTAGCTAGGCCAGATGACGTCACTTAGTGTTTCACCCAATTGTGTATTATATATTTTTTCACTGACGTCATTATCTTGCTTGGCCAGATGACGTCACTTAGTGTTTCACCCAATTGTGTATTATATATTTTTCCACTGACGTCATTAACTAGGCTAGATAAGACGTCACTCAATGCTCATCTAGTACTGGCATATCATTAGTGACGTCATTGAGTACATCACAATTAGACATAACACGTTTCTTTGGTTCAATAATCTATATGAACTGTTTACACGCCTCTGTTAACCAATCAGAAGACAGAATATACGCTCCCTCTCTTCCTCATTTCTCCTCTTCTTTAGTTTTCTTTTTCGTTTTTTCTTCCTTCCCCTTTTACTCTAAGTGTTTCCTGGTCGCAAGTGTGGGTGTGTGTTATCGAGGGCGCGCCTGTGTTTGTAGGCGTGGTTGGTGGGGATGTCAATTGGCAAGGGCGTGTGTCGGTGTCCAGAGAGAGGTGTTGACCCGCCCATTGATGATCTCCTGACGCTGAGGTGCCCAGGATAACTCGGTAAAGGTGTGCTGTTCGGCGCCTCCTCCTACACAGGCGTCATCTGTACACACCAAGGAGATCACAGTCAGTATAATGTGATAACCAGAGTCCAGTAACAACAATAATAACAATAATTACTACTATCACTATTACTACTGCTGCTACTATTGCTGCTATTACTACTGCTGATACTACTATTATTGCTGCTACTACCACTGCTGCTACTACTACTATTGCTGCTATTACTACTGCTGCTACTACTACTATTGCTGCTATTACTACTGCTGCTGCTACTACTATTGCTGCTATTACTACTGCTGATACTACTATTATTGCTGCTATTACCACTGCTGCTACTACTACTATTGCTGCTATTACTACTGCTGCTACTACTACTATTGCTGCTGTTACTACTGCTGCTGCTACTACTACAGCTGCTACTACTACTATTGCTGCTATTACTACTGCTGCTACTACTACTATTGCTGCTATTACTACTGCTGCTACTACTACTATTGCTGCTATTACTACTGCTGCTACTACTACTATTGCTGCTGTTACTACTGCTGCTGCTACTACTACAGCTGCTACTACTACTATTGCTGCTATTACTACTGCTGCTACTACTACTATTGCTGCTATTACTACTGCTGCTACTACTAAGATAGATTGTAATTGTAGTTCCTTACCCCATGTGTCCTTTCCCCTACACCCAACCATCCTCTCTGCTCTCTCTCTCTCTCTCTCTCTCTCTCTCTCTCTCTCTCTCTCTCTCTCTCTCTCTCTACTAATGTACTAACGTGAGGTTGAGCACTTACAATTATCCAGGCTGCTTTTGACGAGGACCTTGTTGTTGTTATTGTTGTTGTTGCTGGCTGGGTCTTGAGCCTGGAGCGAAGGGTTCGTCTCTACCATGTCGGACAGGAAGGTGATGTAGCCTATAGCCAGCCGTAGTGTGTCCACCTGTAGAGTCACCACACAGGTTAGCAAAACATGGCGGCTCGGGTTCTGAAGGGTTGTTATTTTTATTATTTTTTTTTATATTAACAAATAGTGGTGTTAATGGCGTCGAAATTACAAAGACATTATTGTAAAGGGAGATTATTGTGGTGTTATCTGAATGTGTGTGTGTGTGTGTGTGTGTGTGAAAATCCTGGAGCATATAACTAAAGTAATCTTAAATTTGGTCTTTTAGTAACAGTAAATATTAAATACATTCGATGATACGATGTTAGAATAAAGACTAACAGACATATGGAGTGAGTTAGGTGAGGGAGGCCCAGAAAACAGGTTATATGAAGAAAACTGACCACCAGACCAGGTCCCGCGCGCCAGGTCACCTCAGAATATGGGTCAAGTAGGGTGAAACAGTTCATTAAACAGGTCATTAGGGAAGGTGTGAGATAGGGGAGAACTCAGCTGGTCGCACTATACCCTGTACTATAGAAGGCGGCGACGACCCACCTTGGAGAGGCGCTTCTCGTAGGGCATGGTGGGTATATGAGCTCGCAGGCCCTCGAAGGCGTCGTTGATGGAGGCCATGCGTCGTCGTTCCCGCATGTTAGCCGCCTGTCGTTGTCGCACCTGCGCCAGGGGACATATCCGCCGCCGCCGTCGGTTCTCCCGAACGTTGGAGGCCACCAGGGAGTCCTCCTAAGTGAGTAGATGAAGTAAAGAAGACTTAGTGACTGATGACAATTGTTTTTTCACTTGTGTTAGGGAAGCAGTGTACAGTGTGAAGACCTGAACAGACGAAGAGGTTCTTACAAGTGAACCAACAGAAGGACTTTAACCTAATGGAAGGTGACGGGACGGAGGGATCTGAAATTTTGTTCGCCATTCACTGCACGGGGACAACAACACTTAGAATATATTACATGAGTGATAAACTGATTAACATAGAGACAAAGACAACCACAGAGATATTAACTGTACTGTACACAGATATAGATCGTCCAGGTTCGGTCCAGTTGGTCAGACGGTAAAGGACAGTGCGGGAAGACTACACTCGATTATGTTCAATTACCTGGTTGACAAGTTAAAGTGGGTCCCGTAGGCATGACCGCTCGTTAGGGACAGTGTGGACACAGCACACTACACACACCATACTCGGCCTTCCTTACACAGCTGGGTGGCCAGTGTAATCAGCTGACCCACCCCTATACAACGAACAATGATGACCCACCTCTATACAATGAACAATGATGACCCACCTCTATACAATGAACAATGATGGTTAATGTTATCTGTCTAAGGATTTATCTCGAGACTAAGTAAAGTATAATTTCGAAGCCAAATACAGTACCTGCCTCACGTCTACGATAATGACTCAGAATTCGTGTTTGTTTTATCCCGAGAATAACTGAAGCTGTCTCGAGTTGTTATTTGAAGACCTCGAATACTTATTTTGTCTACCCAGATTGATTTAGATGATATTTGGATATTAATCGATTTTGAATTATTACGAATGTATTATGATCCTCAATGAAACATACTATGAGACTTTGAGCATTTACTGAACCCCTTGAGAATTTACTGAACCCCTTGAGAATTTACTGAAACCTTTGAGCATTTACTGAACCCCTTGAGAATTTACTGAACCCCTTGAGAATTTACTGAACCCTTGAGAATTTACTGAACCCTTTGAGAATTTACTGAACCCCTTGAGAATTTACTGAAACCTTTGAGCATTTACTGAACCCCTTGAGAATTTACTGAACCCCTTGAGAATTTACTGAACTCCTTGAGAATTTACTGAACCCCTTGAGCATTTACTGAACCCCTTGAGAATTTACTGAACCCTTTGAGCATTTACTGAACCCTTTGAGCATTTACTGAACCCCTCGTGAATTTACTGAACCCTTTGAGCATTTACTGAACCCTTTGAGCATTTACTGAACCCCTTGAGAATTTACTGAACCCCTTGAGAATTTACTGAACTCCTTGAGAATTTACTGAACCCCTTGAGAATTTACTGAACTCCTTGAGAATTTACTGAACCCCTTGAGAATTTACTGAACTCCTTGAGAATTTACTGAACCCCTTGAGAATTTACTGAACTCCTTGAGAATTTACTGAACCTCGGAATATTTACTGAACCTCCATCACGGATATATGAACTCTCAAGCATTATCTGAAACCTTAGGTATTTAATGAATCGTTGGGTAGTTATGGGTAGTTAAGAAGTCTCAAGGGCCTAGGTTAGGTTAGGTTAGGTTCCACTGGTACAACACTCATGGTACAATTCATGGTATAACACATGTGGTATAAAACACATAACAGTAGACATTACAGTAATATGACACAATATTTATGACACATTACATTGATACACGACACTAACCTGACACCATATGACAGGTGACAACGTTTTGACACCTCATACCACTCATGACACTAAATTGACACAACATAACACAAATCACACACACACACACACACACACACACACACACACACACACACACACACACACACGTGATAGTGACTACGCAGTGTGTTTGGTCGCGTCAATCAGAATATCAAAACATGGAAAAATAACTTGGGATATCTAAAACAAAATACAGGTTCTACAAGGATTAGATTCGATATACATGTATCTTAAAGTCCTATTTTGGGGTGGGGACGTGTTATCAGGAAGCATAAGTGAGGAACCGCAAAAACAAAACACAATCAGATTTAACTACAGAACAGAATATTTTGGTGTGGGTTCAACGTATGAGGAGAGGGACAGAAAGACGGATATGGACAGGGTTTACGAATTGAAAGATAGAAGTTAAGGGTTCATAAGATCATAGGAACAACATATGTGTGTGTGTGTGTGTGAGAGAGTCTTACCTGTGGGGATTTGTGAGGTGAGGCCCAAGGAACCCAGGGATCAGAGGCTTCACAAGAGGAACCCGGGGAGGTGGAGGCTGCGGCTTCCCATTCCAGGTAACCAGGTGAGGTCATCCACTGTCGATTCATTACCTCCAGGTTAGCATTGTCCAGCCCGTACATGGTGGGTTCTGGGGTCCTACAGGAGACGAAGGTGGTTTTGGGTCTTGGTTCTGGTAGGTGGGGAGGGAGGAGTTCTGACCTTCTGCTGTAGTTCTGGGCTTTTGCTGTAGTTCTGGCCTTCTGCTGTAGTTCTAACCTTCTGCTGTAGTTCTGACCTTCTGCTGTAGTTCTGGGCTTTTGCCCTAGTTCTGACCTTCTGCTGTAGTTCTAACTTTCTGATGTAGTTCTAACCTTCTGCTGTAGTTCTAACCTTCTGCTGTAGTTCTGGCCTTCTGCTGTAGTTCTGGGCTTTTGCCGTAGTTCTGACCTTCTGCTGTAGTTCTAACCTTCTGCTGTAGTTCTGACCTTCTGTAGTTCTGACCTTCTGTAGTTCTGACCTTCTGCTGTAGTTCTGACCTTCTGTAGTTCTGACTTTCTGTAGTTCTGACTTTCTGTAGTTCTGACTTTCTGTAATTCTGACTTTCTGCTATAGTTTTGACCTTCTGCTGTAGTTCTGGGGTTTTTTGGTGTTTACAGTGGTGATCTTTGTACTGTGGTGTAAAGGTTCTGTTTTTCTGTATACGTTCCAGTGTGTCGTGGCTCTCTCTCTCAGTACTGCTCTGGTTCTGGGGATATTAGGTGGTAGTTCTGCGGTTCTAGGCTGTTACTATAGGACGTGAAGTTAGAGTCATCAGTTCTATAGTTCTCGTGTTGGTCGTCATTAGTCAAGCTGCCTCCAATACTTTATAAATAACTTCAAAGTAACATTCCGTTCATATATTTGTTTTTAATTGTCTTTACCACCACTCCACTAGCCCATCAATAGTAGTCAACATTAAGAAACTCCAAAACATAGGTTCAGAGCCGAAGGACACAAAATATTCACAAAACTCAATGTAATATAAAGTCACATCAACATCTAATGATCTTCATTAATCATCAAACCAGCGATTCTATGGGCTAACTACAGCAAGTAAGAAGCATGTAGTATAGTCGTTGTAGAGGCTGGATGGATTTGACGTTAAAAAAAATATCAGAACACAGAATATTGAGAGATCACCATAATGCTCGTCACACACACACACACAAGTCTTGGCTAATGGCTTGGTCTTCTTTATGGCGTGCTAGTGGTGGTGCAGAAGTCAACAGGCAAATGGTTCGTCGTGAAGCTACCAGATGACGAGAATGGTGGTGGCTGCAGTTACACAGCTTGTCACAGCGGTAATCCAGCAGTGTTATAGTGAGCACGTGGTTTTAGCTATGACTTATCAATAACAGTGTTAGTATGCCAGATGCGCGATGATGCCTTATAGGGAAATAGTTTCTTAGATATCAAATTCCTGATATGTATAGACACATATCTTTTTTTTCTCTTAATTTACGAAGATGTGCATTCGAATTTTATCTTAATATGTGAAATAATATAGAAATATAAAATAAATGTAAAATTCACTGATTGATATTGGTTCTAAACTCCGCCCATGTGAAGCAAACAGCCAATCACAACACGGAGTAATGGCTGGTGGGCGGAGTTTAAGAGGACTGGGGAATATGACTCGCTAACGTCAAAGTCCATGTCTAGTAAATTATTCACAAGTAGCATCTATGAAATATTCGAGAAGAAAGAATACTAAAGCTCCTCTCACACGACAGCTGCTTCACGAGATATAAAATAGAAATTACAACAGAAAAACAAAAAAACAGATTAATTTTCGTCGTCTTGTTTACCAATCCATTTCTATAATACTAATTACGTGTTACAAAGAAAATATTTATATACACACTAACTTCACTCCCTCATTTACGATAGATATTTAATTCAGCAGACCAATCTAGTGAATATATCTAATTAAAATCCTTTCACCGAGTAGTATAGGCGCCTTTCTCAGTATTATAATATATGGCGTCTTGAGAAATATAAATCGACTACATAAACCGTAACAAAAGGAGACATAAGTTGTTTACATCCAGCAGAATTATTATTGACGTGGAATTATTATGTGGGTGTGGGTGTGTGGGTGTGGGTGTGTGGGTGGGTGTGTGGAACAGGGGTGTGGGGGGTGTGTGGGTGTGGGTGTGGGTGTGTGTGTGGGTGTGGAGCTGGGGGTGTGGGTGTGGGTGTGGGTGTGTGGGTGTGGGTGTGGGTGGGGGGTTGACATAGAAAATAGTAATAGTCTAGAAGAAAGAAAATTAACCAAGACGAGAGAGTATAGACATGAGAAAATGGAAGATTGGTATAATGATAAATGAGAGACTGAAAGAGAGAGAGAGAGAGACAACCAGATGCATTATACGAAAGGAAGGAATGAAGGTGATAATGAAAAGGAAGTAGTAATATACGAGAATAGGTAAAGAGGTAGAGAGAGTATGCTGATAATTTTATTGGTGTGTTGAAGGAGGGGGAAATGGGTAAACGACTATAGGAGGTGTAGGTCTAGTAACATGCCTATTGGGCGTTTTGCGTAGGTCTCTCTCTCTCTCTTTCTCTCTCTCTTATTTTTTGTCTCTGTCTTCTTGCAAACCCAGTGTGTGTGTGTGTGTGTGTGTGTGTGTGTGTGTGTGTGTGTGTGTGTGTGTGTTTCATCATTTGACTTCACAATACTCATGAATGACGTTGTTACTCCCTCGTCAGTGAGAGTTATAGTGTATCTGAGAGTCAGTGAGAGGCAGTGAGAGTCATTGAGAGTCACGAGAGGCAGTGTGAGTCATTGAGAGTCACGAGAGGCAGTGTGAGTCATTGAGAGTCACGAGAGGCAGTGTGAGTCAATGAGAGTCAGTGAGAGGGTCAAGAGGACAACTCATTATCATCAATTACTTCACCCAACACACCTGTCCTCAGTACACAACCCGTTCGTGGCTTCACCTGTCTGTACCTCCGCGTTTAATTATCTCCACTTTAAATCACCTGAAGATTAACCATTCTAACGCTACCCTAAACTAACCTAACCTAACCTAACCTAACCTAACCGAACCTAATCTAACCGAACCTAATCAAATTTAATCTAACAGAATAGTAACAGAAAGATAACCGAAAGCTAATAACAGGGTAAAAACAGAGAGATAACAACAGGATAGCAACAGAAAGATAACAACAGTGTAACAACAGAGATAACAACAGGGTAACAACAGAAAGATAACAGTGTAACAACAGAAAGATAACAACAGAGATAACAGAAAGATAACAACAGGGTAACAACAGAAAGATAACAACAACAAACCTCAACAGAAGAGCAGCAACAGAGTGAAGGGTTGTCTATGTTATAATGAGACTGGTGGGGGGGGGGATTCTCTGACACCTCCCAATACACCTCTCCCTCCCTCCTCCTCATCCCCTTAACCCCCACCCCCCCACCCAACCCCTCTCCTCTCCTTTCTCTAGACCCCACACCCTTCCCTCTTCCCCCCTACCCCCGAGTCCCACCCCAACAACCCTCCCATCCTCACCCCTCCTTCACCTTAACCTCCACCCCTCCCTTCCCCCTCCCACCTCCCCACCCCTCTCCACCCCTCCACCCATGCAGGGAAGTAACCCATTGTTGTGCATGGAATCCAAAGATGTAGGAGATATTGCGCCAGATTGACGTCATTCTTCCTTCCTCTTCCCCTCCTCCTCTTCTTCCTCTTCCTCCTCTTCCACTTCTTCCTCCTTTTCCACTTCTTCCTCCTCCTCCTCTTCCTCCTCTTCTTCTTCTACTCTCTTCCACTTCTTTCCCCTCCCTGTTCTTCCTCTTCCTCCTCTTCTTCTTCCTCCTCTTCCACTTCTTCCCCTCCTCCTCTTCTTCCTCTTCCTCCTCTTCTTCTTCCTCCTCTTCCCTTCTTCCCCCTCCTCCTCTCCCTCCTCTCCCTCCTCTTCCTCCTCTTCCACTTCTTCCTCCTCCTCCTCCTCTTCTGGATTTATCACCTAAATCTAGTTATTAGACCCCGACAACTTACTGTATGGTCCCCCGCGCGTAGAAATTAACGATGGCAAATAGGGGTTGTTGAATGGTATAGTTAACAGTCATTATTAGCCAATTCGAGGGTAATTTAGCTAGGGAGATGGTCAATTCAGCTCGTTAATAGTCGATTGAACGATGGTTAAGACTATTTACGCGGTTATTGGCATTCCTTAACTACCAAACAACAACCTACAACAACAACGACATTAATAACTCCAATAATAATTTGTACTACTTTAACTTATCGAGTGGTTAAGGTTACCCAGGTGAATAGAATCACCTGTCGTTAACCAGGACAAAATACCTAAGTTTAACAAGACCTCTTAAAGGGTTAATCGAGATAGAGTTTAATTAGCCATCATTTATATTATCTGTATCTCTTAATTGACCCCTTAAGTGGCAATTAACCACAATGCAGTGCTCCTTTAACTAGCCAAATAACAGCACCCCTTAACTAGCCAAAATACAGTACCCCTTAACTAGCCAAAATACAGTACCCCTTAACTAACCAAAATACAGTACCCCTTAACTAGCCAAAATACAGTACCCCTTAACTAACCAAAATACAGTACCCCTTAACTAACCAAAATACAGTACCCCTTAACTGGACAAAACAAGGTCCCCATAAACTAGCTAAAATACAGTTCTCCTTAGTCAAAATACAATACCTCCTTAACTAGCCCAAATACAGTCCTCATTAACTAGCCAATAGCCAGTACTCCTTAACTATCCAATAGCCACAGTATCGGCGTTACACTACCATTAGTACCAGTGTCAGTTCATCAACATTACTTTCCCTACCCCCTTCCTCCTACCCCCAACCCTCTTCACCCCCCCTTCCCCCACCCCCTCTCCCCTTCCCCCGCCCCCAACCCTCCTGCCAGCTTGGATCGGGAGGGGAGAGGGGGGGGGGGTGTTGTCCAGGTAAGGTAAGGTATTGTGCGTCCCGTAATGAAGATGTCACAGATACTGGCTTGTAAACCTCTCACCAGGGCAACACAGTGTTAACCCTCATCCTTCCCTTTGTGGTGTGATTCCTATATAGAGAGAGTGTGGTTGTGAGCTGTATGTGCTGGGAGGTGATGGCACTTTCTTTTATAATCTGGATATGGCCGCGCAACCACTTCAGAACGTGTGTGTGTGTGTATGTAGGTTTTTTATTAATTGTATTTTGTATTCATGTACGTATGTATACTGTATGAATACCTAAAGGAGTGAACTATGTATACAAATAATAACTAACACACAGAGATGGAGAATAATAACAATAATAATAATACAACAGGAGGGAAAAACAAGGAGAAGATTAGCCCGTAGAGGTATCAGGGTCACACAATCGCTTCCTTTTGTCCTGCCGCTAAATCCCGGTTGTGATATCGCGGCCAATAATGCGGTCTGGCGGGACGCAAATTGAATATTAAAAACCTCGGCGCAGCCCCAATGGTCACCACAGATTATACACACCTGCCTGGGAGGGGGAGGGAGGAGGGAGATAAGTGATGGGTAGTGAATGAGTGAGTGAGTGGTGAGATAGAAATGGGAGGAGTGTGAAGAGAGAGAGAGAGAGAGAGAGAGAGAGAGAGAGAGAGAGAGAGAGAGTATTAAGACCATTTTCACACACACTTGAAAAATATCCATACAAATCTAGTTTATGATTATTATTATTAGTTATTAATGAAAACACACACACACACACACACACACACACACACACACACACACACACACACACACACACACAGTTGTAGTTGTCAGATGTCACGTGTTACTATAGGGAGCCTGTTGTTGCTGTCTGGTGCCTGTTGTTGTTGTCTGAGGCCTGTTTGCTGTCTGGTGCCTGTTGTTGCTGTCTGAGGTCTGTTGTTGCTGTCTGGTGCCTGTTGTTGTTGTTGTGGGCCTGTTGTTGTTGTCTGAGGCCTGTTGTTGTCTGATGCCTGTTGTTGTTGTCTGAGGCCTGTTGTTGCTGTCTAGTGCCTGTTGTTGCTGTCTGGGGTCTGTTGTTTGCTGTCTGGTGCCTGTTGTTGTTGTCTGAGGCCTGTTGTTGTTGTCTCGAGGCCTGTTGTTGTTGTCTGGTGCCTGTTTTTGTTGTCTGAGGCCTGTTGTTGTTGTCTGAGGCCTGTTGTTGCTGTCTGGTCTGTTGTTGTTGTCTGAGGCCTGTTGTTGTTGTCTGATGCCTGTTGTTGTTGTCTGAGGCCTGTTGTTGCTGTCTGAGGCCTGTTGTTGTTGTCTGAGGCCTGTTGTTGTTGTCTGAGGTCTGTTGTTGCTGTCTGGGGCCTGT